AGAAGGTATGCTACAATAAACGCTTTGACAGCTTCTTCGTTCTCCTTTTCCTCCGTGTTTTATCTTGTAAAATATATAACAGATTGATAATATACATTAATAATAACAACAATAATTCATATTTACCTAATTTTTGCCATTAAATGCAAATGCAAGCGCACGAGAAAAGAAACATGTAGACAGCTGATTGCCAAAGCGCGAAAAAGTTGAGAAAGACTCATATAAAGTCATGTATTGAACTTATCTGTTANTATGATAATATACATTAATAATAACAACAATAGTTCATATTTACCTAATTTTTGCCATTAAATGCAAATGCAAGCGCACGAGAAAAGAAACATGAAGACAGCTGATTGCCAAAGCGCGAAAAAGTTGAGAAAGACTCATATAAAGTCATGTATTGAACTTATCTGTTAAAACGGAATTAAGAAGCAAAGCGAAGCAAAAGTCTTATGTAAACGGCCCTTAATATGCACGCATAATCGTCGTGTCAACAGGATTCCATTTGTCCTTGTAGCGTCGATAACCATATACGTTAGTCACATCACTGTATCTACTGTATTTTCAAACGGTTCTATAAATAGCAAAAAAGTGGAGACGGCGTCTGTGCATTGGGAAGTGGCAAACAAAGCTGGACCTAAAGTATTGCGAACCGGAGTTAACGCGATATGAACTTACAAAGAGGTTATTTATTCGTTATATTTTATTACCTTGATGACTTGAAAATGATAGGAATGAAAAAATTCGTCGAGCTAACGGTAATGGCTCTGTAGAGTACTGTACTTTTTTATCTTTCGATAAAAGCATTAGATTTGGCTCTGTAACTGCCGCTTCTCTGACATTTTCTTCAAAATATATGGCATCGGAATTGTCACTGCTGTAATCGCTACAATGGCTTTCTAGGTTTTCACATGGCTCATAATCCGCATCATCCTCAGAACTGTATGGATAACTCTCATCACTTACAAATTGATCAAACCAAGAAGATTCCATTTTATAAGCAACATGTAAAAAACTTAAAAGAGCACTACTTGTAACGAGTAAGAATTGAAATTGGAGTTGGTGATAAGCAGTGCGCTCAGACGTGTTTTTGTTCGCTCCGTTTTAATTATCTTTTTGACTATGCTATCGCAAAAGAACAATATCTGCTCGGATTGCAGCAGGTTTATTAATATCGGATCTGCTGTATCGTGTAAATTTTGCCAATCAAAATATCATAAAACTTGTGCGAAATTAGTATTTCTTGATTCTTCTGATATTTTAATCAAATGCAATAACATTGTTTTTATCTGCAATAACTGCTTGAAAGTATCAGCAAATCTCATTGCTATGATCTCTCTCTTATCCAAAGAGCTAACTTTGTTGAAGTGCAAATTCCCTAAGCTTTCGCGCAGTAACAGTTGTAAACGTTTTCAGCTAATGCTGTCAGCCCAAATATGTGTTCGCGTGAGAGTAAGCGAGAATCAACTGCCAAGTCTACCAATAGTGCCTACAATCTTCGTTCTCAACAAAATATTACTTATAACACGAATGACATTGCTTCGCCTGGCCGTTTGCATACTGAACCTTTGGGTAACCAGACCTGCCCAGCTAATGATGTTGTTGCTGCCGCTGTTGATGCTCCCTCTGGTGATATGTCTTCTGCTACCGCTCTTGCTCCGAATGTGTTTGTTGATGTTGATGCTGGTACTCTTGCTTCGATTGCTGATGTTGATACTGGTACTCTTTCGTATGGTGCTCTCTCTTTGCCATCCACGTCTGCTCAATCTGCTGCTGCTCTCGTCTCAAATGGTGATGCCGCTGACGCTCAAATTATTCCTGGTTCTGCTTTAAATAATCAACCTGCTCAATCTGCTGATGCTGACGGCGCTTATGCTCCCCCACCCGAACTCCTAAGTGGACTACAGTTGTCGAGGACATGAGTCATAACTTGATTGAATTTTAAAACTAATATTAGTTCGTAATAATGAAGTTACAAAATGAATACTTACCTTGAATACTTACCTTTAATTACATCCCTGAACTGGGAAATTTAATACTCACCACAAACCTGTATATACATATATATGTAAGCTAGAAAAAGGAACTGTAACGTAAAGGTCAAAAATGCAAATCAATCGTTCGCTATCCTTATACATAAACGGTCGTCCAATCGGAAATATATTGTATTGTAATACCCAAATAGCAGTAAAATAAAATAGTGAATTAAAATATCTTTTATAAAAAAAAGGAAAAACCTCTTTAATTCGCGCGAAAGTGAACATGGTGCCAAAACCCGCTTAAAGAACCGAGAACAAAAAATCAAATTTAATAAAAAACGCAGTTCCGCGGCTCGCGCGCGCAAGTGCAAATTATAAAAAAAAAAAAACTAAAAACTAAAATCATAAAAACCCATATTTGTGTGCAAGTTTGGTGCGGCGCAAAAAATAAAAAATTGTGTAAATATACGCATAACCAAATGAAACTAAAATAGTGACATTAAAATAATACCAAAAATAGTAAAAAAAAAAAAATATGAAATCGTGCCATTTAATCTGCGGTATATACACACGCATATATATACAAGTGTTGACACAAAAGCAAACCAAGCAAGGGCCAATTGCATTAAGCTAGGTTCACAAAAAAGGTGAACATTTAATAAGCTTGGAAAAAAGGCTAGCAGTGAGTGCCGGTGTACAAAACTCAAGTGTAACGTTAAGCCACACAACAACAACAGCAAAAAGGCGAAATCAGCCGCACAAAACAACAGCAAAGGGGCGAAATCAGCCGCACAACAAAAACAGCATGTAGCCACATAAAAGCCGCCAAACAACCGCCCAACAACAACAACGGCAAGTAGCCCAGAAGACGCCGCACAACGTTGGTAGGCAACAGCACAACAATAATAGCAGAAAAGTCGACAGCGACACAACAACAATAGCAGCACAGCGGTTTGTAATAAAAAAAAAGGAATGCCCAAGTAAGTGCATAATTTACTTATTCACATAAAGAGTTTAGCGGATTTCCCCAAAACGGTATATNGAAGTGTTGACACAAAAGCAAACCAAGCAAGGACCAATTGCATTAAGCTAGGTTCACAAAAAAGGTGAACATTTAATAAGCTTGGAAAAAAGGCTAGCAGTGAGTGCCGGTGTACAAAACTCAAGTGTAACGTTAAGCCACACAACAACAACNATCGCTATTTGCATTAGCATCGCACAGCTAGTGGGTTACATACGTACATACACACAAACGTGTATATATAAGCTGAGCTAACTGCACTAGCAAACACAATTTGTGTGCAAGGTATATACAATATATATACACGTATACTCCTATACCAATATTATAAACGGTTACTGTACTCAGATGCGCTGAGACAGGACAGTGTGGAGCAGAAAAATAGCAACGATCCAAAGACAGTGCCGAGCAAAAATATAGAACCCAATATAGTGTGGTACATAATATACGCACAAAAATTATATTCACATATATATAATAAAACATACACACCCAAATATTTTCTCTACCTACTCAAAGTCTCATCGTTGATTTATACACGCATATTAANTCAATATTATAAACGGTTGCTGTACTCGGATGCGCTGAGACAGGACAGTGTGGAACAGAAAAATAGCAACGATCCAAAGACAGTGCCGAGCAAAAATATAGAACCCAATATAGTGTGGTACATAATATACGCACAAAAATTATATTCACATATATATAATAAAACATACACACCCAAATATTTTCTCTACCTACTCAAAGTCTCATCGTTGATTTATACACGCATATTAACCCCGCAACTCGCTCATTATGGCAGAAGACAAGCAGGAAAAACCCCAATCCCTTCACACCCAGCAAGGCATAAGAACGAGGTCNCATTTTATTCATATATATATAATAAAACACTCACACCCAAATATTTTCTCTACCTACTCAAAGTCTCAAGCAATCGATTTATACACGCATATTAACCCCTCAACTCACTCATTACGGCAGAAGATAAGCAGGAAAAACCCCAATCCCCTTACACCCAGCAAGGCATAAGAACGAAGAAGATGAAATCGCTTATAATCATAAAAAATTCATTTATGAAATTTCGAGACTGGACAAATATTGCGAGAAGTGGTGGAGCATTAGCGAAACGGACCACACTGAGGCAGGACTGAAAACATATCTGGAGCACCTCAACAAATACCTGGCNCAGATGAACAATGCAGATGAGAAGACGCGGAAAACATGCGATGCCTCGTACGACAACTCCAGCGACAACGGGTTGAACGCAAAGCTGAGAATTAACGAGTTGCTCAGCCAATTCCAGCAAAACTCGGAACCCACCAGAGACAACACATCCATGGTGATGATGCACCAACCCCAACCCGATTCGTACAATTACCTGAAAGTACCTGCATGTGATACTGAAGTCTTCTATGGAGGATACGAAGACTGGCCATCGTTTAGGGACGCATTCAGAGAGAGATTGTAAAAGTAACTTCGCTTGCGTGTATTGCCAAAAGCGAGACCACTCTCTCTTTCATTTTCCAGCGAAATCCAAAACGCCAAACAACAAAAACCCCACTAAAAACTATGTCACATCTCACGTGACCATTGAAAATGAAATGCCATGTACCTCTTCCCAAGCCACCGCAGAAAATGCATCTCAAAGCAACAATGATAAGGTGCTTTCACATTTCTCAAGCAGTAGAGAAAGAACCTTACTCCCTATAGCAAATATCCCTATCTTCCACAAAGGAGAAACAGTTCAAATTCGCGCTCTCATAGACCAAGGATCCCAAAAGACTTTTGTAACCTCTCGTGTGCAAAAGATACTTGGTCTACCCACAACCAAAACAAACTATGAAATATTAGGAATGGGCGGAAGAATAGTTCAGAATGCGAACAAAATTTGCTCACTCACAATATTTTCTCCAGATCTCAAAATAAAAATTGAAACTCACGCAATAATACTCCCCCAATTGACGCACTTTTTACCATCATTCAAGGTGACATACGTTGATCTCCAAGAATACGCCTCACTTCCTCTAGCTGACCCTAAATGCTTCGCACCTGCCAGGATAGACATGGTGGTTGGTAGCGACATTCTCCCCAAAATACTAATTCCAGGTCTTAAAACCAACGTTGGCGGTAGCTTAATAGCCCAAAACTCCATCTTTGGGTGGATATTAAGCGGCCCAGTTGCGGAACAAATCTCAACATTTTCCACCCAAGTAGTTGAAGGCTCAGAAGATTCGCTAGGTGATCTACTCAAACGATTTTGGGACAAGAGGAGGTTCCATCGGCTCCCACTCACACAGACGATGATGAATTTTGCGAGGAGCTCTACAAAAATACTACCTATCGGAGAGAAGACGGCCGCTACGTAGTAAAACTCCCATTGAAGTCAACATTTCCCGACTCAACCGCACTAGGGCACTCCAGACCCGCAGCTCAGCAGCAATACCTCAGCATTGAGCGGGGCATCGAGAAGAAAGCGGAACTCCAAACCACATATTCAAAGGTCCTCGAAGAATATTTAACTCTAGACCACATGGAGCCCACAAAGTCACGCGAAATCATACGTGATGGTAAATATTTCTCATTTTACCTGCCACATCACGCTGTGATTAAACCTGATAGTAAAACTACTAAAGTCCGAGTAGTTTTTAATGCGTCAAAACTCTCTCACTCCGGCCTCTCACTTAATGACGTACTGCACACAGGTCCCGTTCTCCAAAATGTCCTAATGCCTATAATTCTCAAATGAAGGTTATATAAGTATGTGTTCAATGGCGACATTGAAAAAATGTATCGCCAGATATACGTCCACAAGGAAGACCAGGATTTCCAGCGAATCCTATTCCGCAGATCCCCCGAAAGTCCGATAGAAGACTTCAAACTAAAAACAGTTACATTTGGCGTTAACTGTGCTCCCTATTTGGCCATAAGAACACTCCATCAATTGGCCCAAGACACACAACAAAAGTCCCCACGAAGCTCGGCAATTTTAGTCAACGAAACTTATGTTGACGACATTCTCTCAGGCGGGCACGATCTGGACTCAGCCAGGGAATCGATATCTCAAATTATCGATGTCCTAAAATCAGCAGGATTCCCCTTGAAAAAGATCACGGCAAATCACAAATCACTGCTGAAAGATATTCCTCAGTCTGATCTGTTAGACACAGATTTTCTCCAATTCCAAGAGGCAAGCTCAACGAAAACCCTTGGAATTAAATGGAACGCTCTCACAGACACGTTTTCGTACTCAGTAGATCCGCTCCCTGACACAAACACTGCCACAAAGCGACAGATCTTATCAGCTGTCGCGAAACTTTTCGACCCGGCAGGATGGCTATCGCCCATAATGATAGCAGCGAAAACTCTCCTCCAACAGCTCTGGATGGAGGGAACAGACTGGGACGAAGCTGTCAAACCCACCTCACTTCTCAAATGGAACTCTTTCCAGAAAAATCTCTCGGCGATCAAAGAAATTGAGATACCCCGTTGGGTACAATTCAGCCCGGATAACCCAATCCAGCTGCATGGTTTTTCTGATGCCTCTGAAAAGGCTTTTTGCGCTTGTGTATATCTAAGAGTTCAACATGGCGAAACTGCAACTTCTCATCTACTCGCAGCAAAGAGCAAAGTTGCACCCTTACAGACTGTTTCTCTCCCAAGGCTGGAACTCTGCGGTGCAGTCCTCCTCACAAAGTTAGTGAAACAGATCCGATCCCAACTAGATCTGCCCTCTCATGAACTAACGTTGTGGACTGACTCTTCCATCGTGCTAGCTTGGTTGGAAAAACCTCCCTGGATGTGGAAGACGTATGTAGCAAACAGGACATCCCAGATCCTTCAAAACGTCAACAATGCTACGTGGCGTCATGTCTGCAGCGCCGACAATCCAGCAGATCTAGGCACACGAGGAGCCAAACCTCAAGACCTCGTAGACTGCTCTCTCTGGTGGAAAGGCCCCGAATGGCTAACAAAGCCCCCCATACTATGGCCTAAAGTCACCCCAAATCACCCATCTCCTCCAGAACAAAAGCACATAGAAGTATTCCACGCAGCCGTAAGCACCGATCTCTTACACCGATTCTCCTCCTACTCAAGAGCTCTCCGAGTGGTAGCATTCATGTTACGGTTTGTAAACAAAGCCAAAAGGTTGCATGTCCCACAAACCATCACTCTAACGCATGCAGAAATAAATCAGGCGAAATTGCTTCTCATTCGGAATGCTCAACACATATATTACGGAGAAACGGTGACAACCTTGGAAGCGAAAAACCCAATCAGCAAAAAAGACCCATTGCTCACCCTTAACCCATTTTTGGATAAGTCAGGCCTGCTGCGCGTTAACGGACGCCTCACTTACGCCGCCCTCAGTTATAATGAGCGGCACCCCATTATTATACCAGATAACTCAAAGCTATGTTCTCTCCTTCTCGCTTTCCTCCACTCAACACTACTACACGCCGAAAAGCAGCTGATGATCCGCATGGTCCAGCAGGAATACTACATCCCTCGCCTCAAGCAGAAGATCAAGACATGCATCTTTCACTGCAAGACATGTACCATCTACAAGCAAAATATGAAGTCGCAAATGATGGCCGCGTTACCCCCAGAACGCTCTACATACTCGCTCCCATTCCAAACCACTGGTGTTGATTTTGCTGGTCCGTTCCTGGTAAAAACCTCTACTCTTCGTCGAGCATCTCACTCCAAAGCATACGTCTGCGTTTTCGTATGTTTCTCCACAAAAGCTATACATCTCGAACTTTGCTCTGATTTAACAACAGAATCTTTTAAGGCAGCTTTCACACGATTCATCGGACGCCGAGGAATACCCCACAAAGTGATGTCCGACAATGGAAAAACCTTTGTAGGAGCACAACGAAGTCTCAAGAGGGAATTTTCCATCTTTCTTGAGGAAGTCTCAGCGGATATTGCCAACAAATATGCCCTCCACGGCCTCGCATGGCAATTCATTCCTCCGTACGCCCCACACATGGGAGGACTCTGGGAAGCAGCAGTGAAAAGTTTCAAAATTCATTTCACCAAAGTGGCGGGCACCCATAAATTCACGTATGAGGAGTTCAACACTCTCCTTGTCCGTATTGAAGCGGTTCTGAATTCGCGACCGCTATCCCCGATGTCACAAGACCCTGATGACCTACAAGCTTTGACACCAGGTCACTTTCTCCGCGGCGCCCCGCTACTCTCCATTCCTGAGCCGAACTCCGAAAATCTCTCCCTAATAAATAGGTGGCAGAAACTAAGGGTACTCCATCACCAGTTCAGCAAACGCTAGAAAAGTGAGTATCTGCAAGAACTCCATAAGCGCTCCAAATGGAAGGGCCAGGACACCAATCTAAACGAAGGGGACTTAGTCGTCATAAAAGACGATCTCCTTCCCCCCAACGAGTGGCGGCTCGGCCGAATTACGAAACTCCATCCCGCTCCCGATCAAAATGTTCGCGTCGTAGACATTCGCACCCAAAGCGGAACCGTCACACGCAACATAACGAAGCTTTGCTTATTACCACCCGCGTAGCTCATGCCCTTACACTCATTCTACTATCTTTCTCACATTTTGTCTCGTCTCAGTTCACCAATCAACCGCATGCCACTAACAATGTCCTTCGAACGTGTATNTACTCTATTATCTTTCTCACATTTTTTCCCGTCTCAGTTCACCAATCACCCGCATACCACTAACAATGTCCTTCGACCGTGTATTTACAGGCCCCAAGACTTCAGCAAATGCCGACTGTGCTGCCGCACCCATTCGCTGCGCTACTGCCGCGCCCTTCTGGCCATGACGCCGGACGAACGCTACGAATCCGCTAGAGTGCACCGCTACTGCATAAATTGCTTAGCTACCTCGCATGTAACGGGCGCCTGTGATTCCTCAGGCAGTTGTCATCGCTGTGGATTAGCCCACCACACCTTGCTGCACCGATCCGCCTCCACACCGACCGAGCGTACGCAGAAGACTGAGCGCAAGTCCAATGACAAGCGCAAGCCGAATCGTCAAAGGACCCAAACCTCGCGTGAGCAAGGAAATGCTACGCAGTCAGCACGCAGACCGACCGGACGAGCAGTAAAGAAAGCAGCTCAACAACCACGTCCCGTTCCTGCTTTCCAACNTGCTCCCGCCTTTCAACGACGCATCCGGGGGCTACTAAATAAAGCACGAGAAACGCTGGAGCAGCTGCAAGATTTGGTGCAGGTCTCATCGCCTCAGGCCCGCCGGCATGACATGAGTCATAATTTGATTGAATTTTAAAACTAATATTAGTTCGTAATAAAGAAGTTACAAAATGAATACTTACCTTGAATACTTACCTTTAATTACATCCCTGAACTGGGAAATTTAATACTCACCACAAACCTGTATATACATATATATGTAAGCTAGAAAAAGACCCTGTAACGTTAAGGTCAAAAATGCAAATCAATCGTTCGCTATCCTTATACATAAACGGTCGTCCAATCGGAAATATATTGTATTGTAATACCCAAATAGCAGTGAAATAAAAAAGTGAATTTAAATATCTTTTATAAAAAAAAGGAAAAACCTCTTTAATTCACGCGAAAGTGAACAACAATGTATAATATAAAAAATAAAAAAAACTGTTAAACCCAAGAAATTTTTTGTTGGGCGTAATGTGTCAACTGAGCTTGATGAGTTGTTAAGAAGAAGTGGCTGCACATCTCGGCATTCAAATCTACTGTCAAAGTCGCAAATGTTATTGATTTTGTAGTGAAGCATTTTGGCATTGCAAACATTTATCTTTCGTGCTTTGCACTTGTTAAAAAAGGGGTATCTCTTAATGAGTTGGAAAGCATAAATTTTAAATTGTGTGTGTCACCTGCATACTACAGTACACTCTTAGATGCAAATGTATGGCCAGTAGGAATTAATGTCCGACCATTTCGTTTTTTACAAAAAGAATAGTGATTGTGCAATTAATTCCATCAATTTTAGTGAATGTAATTCTACTAGTAATACTAAAAAGCTAAAGATATATTATCAAAACATCTGAGGCATGCGTACTAAAATTAAAGATGTGTATCTAGCCACATCACGATGTGAATTCGATATTTACGTACTTGTTGAAACTTGGCTTAACCAAAATTTTTTCGATATGGAATTCTTTGACCCAAATTTGTTTGAAACATATCGCAAAGATAGGGCCTCAATAAAAGCAGGTTTGTGCAGAGGTGGTGGTGTCTTAATCGCGGTTAAACGCACCCTACGCTCCGCGGCTATCCAGCTTATGAATAATGATTCTTTGTTTGACCAACTATGCGTGTGTATCTTCGGTAATTTTGGCAACATATTCATCTTCGCTTCTTATATTCCGCCAAGCAGTGCTGAATCTTAGTATGACGCTCATGTAACTAATATTATAAGTATTTGTGATAATAATGAAGATAGTCATTTTTGCAAAATAGTTTGGTCTAATTTACTTAGAACTAATATTCTTGTTGGGTCACAGATTGGGATTCGCTGCGCTTGCCATAACTCATGAGCACCTGGGTCACAGATTGGGAGTCGCTGCACTTCCCATCACTCAAGAGTACCTGTAATACATATCTACGCATTTACTGTATGCTAAATCATCACATTCCAATTTGCACTCTCAGCGGCTTAAGGCCCGTCCACATAGAACTTTGGCGTTGCGTTGGCGATGGCGTCGCTTCAACAGCTGATATGAATAAATCAATTAAAATGCAGCCGTCCACATAGCCAAAATTCGACAACGCTCACGCCAACACTAAGCAAAAAGATGGCCAGCTCTCAACTTTTCGCGTGCGTCGCACGTCAGCTGTTGCAAATGAATAAAATTATGTGAAATATTTTTCCTTTTTAATCAAGTGCGGGCAAGAAATATTGTTTTTAATGCAATTATTGATATGAAATATTAATTTATCTGTCGTTAGCATGTCAATTTAGTGGCCCAAGCATTCGCTGCCAAGCGTTCATTGTAACAAGCATACTTTTAACGTGCGTTCTGTCAAACTAACGCCAACGCGAAAACTCCTTCTTCAGAAAAATTGTAAAATTTCAATATTAATTTCTCTATTTTTACCAAACTCCGTGTTCCAAAAAAGCGTTATGTAATTAGTGTATGTTCCCTTACTAATATGAAGAAATCAATACAAATGTAAGAATATCTGTGAGCTTTTACTGGCAATTTATGCACACTAAGCTGCTGTGTTCCTTGCAAACAAATTTTTCGCACTTAGTGCACACAGTTGAATATTTGTTTGAGTTTTTGTTGTGACGGCAAGAGAAACAACGCTGTCGTTTTTTGCCAGATTCAGTTTTAGGAAGAACACGAGAAGGCAAGGCTTTTTCTTTGGATTGGGAATTTTCTTGCATACTTTTGAGAAGGTTCTTCGCCGAAATGCCGCGTGGCAGTGTCTCTCTACGGCCAATATCTGGCTCGATCATTTGCTTTCCAAGCTCTTCAAGAAAAAGTCTACGTTTGTATAGCTTATTGGAGTTCCAAGAGGGGTTTATTTCTGTCCATATCACATATGCGTTGTATGCCGAAATATCTGCCATATTTGAAAACAATGCAACTGGCCAACGTTTTGTCTGACGTTTGCACGTATAATTAGCCACTAGCTGATCAAGCGCATCCACTCCTGCTTTGGTTTTATTATAATGAAGTATGATCTGAGGTTTTTTTCTATCTTCATCACTTACAAGAGAGGAATGGTGAAGAGAACTCAGTGCAACTACAAATTTATATTTTTTGGGGACGTACGACACAATAGTTACATTCTCCGTGAATAAAAACTCGCTATAAAAAACGTTCCTTTTCTTCATGTCGATTATTTTTTGTGGCAGAAAAGATTTATTCTTTCTGACTGTTCCCACTAAAGTAATATTTCGGCGAAGTAGCTGCATGGCGAGATTATACGTGGTAAATAAATTACCGCACGTTATAGTATGGCCCCTAGGAAGCGGTTCTGATAGGGAGATAACAACACGTTCACCTAAACGCATGGAAAGAGAAACAGTAAATATACATATCAGACTACTTCCTATATTTGATGTTAATTTATAAATGCATTACCTTGGTTCTTTTCTGGCTCTGTATTTCATGCTCTTCCTAAATAAACTTCCATGTTCAAGGCATACTTGCTTGTTGCGTCACAGAGAGCCCATATTTTTAGTCCGTATTTCGCGGGCTTCGACGGAATGTATTGCCTGAAACTGCAACGACCACGAAAAGGCACTAACTGCTCATCGATTGTTACATTTTCGTGTAAATGATAGAATGATTTGAGCTGGCGATACCATTGGTCCCAAACGTTTCTTATTGGAGCTAACTTATCGCGCTGTCTTCTTTCCTCCCTATCTTCAGTGGAGTCAAAACGAAGGCACCGCGAAATGTTCATAAATCTTTCCAAGCTCATTGTAGCCCGAAAAATTGGTCTGCCGTTGCTTTCATCCCACAAATGAAGTAGACTTTCACCATGCGATTTGTACACTCCTGCCAAGATTTGCAATCCTAGGTATGCTTCGAGTTCTATCAAGTCTATGCGTTTCCAGTTGTCTCCAAAGTATTCCAGTCCTTTGCTGTTGCTCATTTCTGTAACTATTTTTTTTATACTTGAAGGAATAAATATATCAAGCGATGATTTGATGTCCGTAACCATGCAAATAGCACGTTTTGGTGGCAGAGGCGAGTGCGATAAAATTTGGTTGCCAGGGATTCTGCCTTTTGAAATTGAAGGTGGCTGATCATGCCAAAGAACACTTTTATCCTTTGATAAAAAATTTCGTAAGTTGACTTCTTCTGTCGTATTGCAATCTTCAAGTAAAACATCGCCTTCACTGTCGCTAGAAGATGTGTTTGAATCCTCAATTTCATTTTCTGTGATAGGTACAAAATCTTCATCGTCATCACTGTCATCGAAAATGTCCTCCGCATCAATAACTTGGTGTATTTCTTCAATACTTAGTATCTTTTCATGAAAAGCGAGTTTTCATAAAAATACCTAATAGCAACAAAAGTAAATAGTTTGACTTACCCTTTTTCTTTGAGACATTATTTGAAATCTTCCAATAACCCCTTTTATGTACAAACAACTTTTGAGAAGCTTGTTTCTGTATGACAGCAATTTAGTAACTGGGCGAATATTCCACGAGTTGACAATAGCGCTCTGCGTACGTGCATGAAACGGGAATTCCCCGTTTTCGCAATACGAATGAAATTGGCGATGACCGATAAAGATAGTACGGAGCAAAATATGAGCGCTTTCCGATAAATAATTCCTTTATCGGAAATTTTGATCGAAGTATGCAATAGGGCATGACACATTCTTACTAAAACACTTGGTGGGTCAAACTGACCCACCAACGCCATAAGTGTTACCAAAACATATTTAGAATTCTCTAGTAAGATAAAAAAACAATTTTTTTTTTAATTAGTGTGTTAATCCGCTTTGTTTAATTCAGTAAACAAGTGGAAGAAGAATCAGCATGATTCGGTTAGATTAACCTACGAATTTCGATAGCTTTTGCTTGAAATTGGGTCAATTTGACCCAAACACAGCCCAAGTTGCAATAGATTTTTGCATTTTAATTTAACACCGATTAGAGAAAACGCTCCCAATATTACAATTCTAACGCCAACCAACATAAGTAATTCTTACGAAATTAACTTTTTCGACAGCCTATTTAGTTTCAACCTTATCCAAATAAATTCTTTTTTAATAAGTTAAATAATATCTTAGATCTAACTTTTGTCGATGAGAACTTAATTTTTTACATAAATGAATGTGACTCCCAATATGTAAATCTGATATGCATCACGTCCCTATTTCTTTATCCCTCGAATTTTTTAGTTTTTCTCCAGTGTCCACCAATGATTCGTGGTCTTTCGACTTCAGAGGTGCGGATTTTTATTACCTAAACTCCAGAATTTTGACTGAATTGACTGGAAATCTTTCTTTATTACAAAAAGTGTATCCGAATGCCTTGACTCTTTTCTGTTCAACATCTTTAAAATCTTTTGTAGTAGTCTCCCTCCTCGATCCGCTCGAATTCATAAACTTCCCTGGTACATAGGGCTGCAGATATCTCTGTTGCCAAACCGGGACACTTAGGGGGGGAGAGGCCTCTCGCTCCCTTCCCTTTCGTTTCGACAAAAATTACGTACGAAAGGATGTAGTAAAATTTTATTTTGACAAACAAAAACAAAAACATAAGAACATGAGATCATGAGATCATTAGAACGTACACCAGCAAAACAAAACAATTTA